GTATTATATTTTTTCCTTGCCTAGGATTCCATATAATCGGTTAAACAAGGCTTCTGCTAGTTGACGGAATGGATGAGATAGCAGGATTTGAATGCGGTCTAGGTGAGATAAATTACAAATATCATTCTTCTAAGTGTAAATCAGATGTAAGCCACAGGCTTCTCAGCGCCGGGATTGTACGCCACTCTTAACACTGTGTCAAATGTAATTTCCGATCGCCTTTGCTCGAACAGAAAGAGAGAGGTAGCACTGTTATATGGGTGAAAGAAAGAATGAAAGTCGGCGTGGGCCACATTTTATGCTTTGTATTCTTCCAATGGACAGTTGAAGACGCTTTCAGAACACGTTCAGAGCTCAGGCCTGAAGGATCGCTAATCAGTAACACAATTCAGCCCATTTTTCTCGAAGAGCCAGTACGCAGTGGCTCCTTTTTGATGAGATCGTTATGGCATACGTGGTTCCAAAGACCGCTTCTTCTTTAAAGCTCCGTTTATAGTGTTAAGGGTTGGGTTGTATGTAGCACACGTTGCCACGCCATTTAGTTCTGCTGACTACTTTGCTTACACTTACTGCTAAGCTTCATGACTATGCCTTGCCTTTGGAAATAAAATTAGCGAAACCTTTCGCCCCCGCGCTATTTAATCTCTGTATCACATGAGTGACCGCTACTGTTTTGAATGTGATGACAACGTTCGCCTGATGAGGCGGGACATTGTAATATTAGATGGCGCACTGCGGTGTGCCTTTGGTTAAGTACTGTGCGACATAACTATTTGGGTGCTGGACCATCCAACGCCTTCATCTGCCATTTCATATTATTCAAAATCTCAGAAACGTCTAATTTACCGGTGCCAGCTAACCCGTATAGTCCGCGTGACGCCTGCGTTCTCCGAACCGACAGTTGTTGTTTTTGTTGCAGTTGTAAATGGAACTATGTCATGTTGTTGATTGCATCGAATCTCCTGGAGCAGTCCTCATTATTATAAACCCTACCTGTGCTATTTAGTTTTATAAGGAATGTCGAATATCAGTCGGCCACCTGCTATAACAACCACTAGGGTGAAGAGGGTCATAATTTTTGGTCAGAAGTTGACGTCTTTATGTAAACCTATAGCGGCAGGTGGTGGCTATTCCTTCTGCAAACGCTATAGAGAGGATTATCCTTCCCCTGCAATATAGCGCATTCTTCGACCGACACACAGCACCGACTAGAATAACTGCACTTTCAGCAGATGCAATTTACGCATGCGAAAGGGCATCCCTGTCTTCCATCTTCCCAGCTGGTCGGCAGGAGGCGACCTAGGGACGAACTTTTTTCCGCGGAGTGGCAGACTGGTGCTTGTGGAAGCCTTGCGACAGATATGGCCTTCGTCTCAAAGTGCTGTTCTTAATAAAAAAGGTGATTCCAGCATCCGCCCGCTCCAGAAACAGGTTTACCACTACCGATTTCTTCTATTTGTTCACTTGTTGGGAATCGGTTCACGCTGAGAGCCGTGATCTCTACTTTGTAGCTTGACAGTTTTCGGGTGAGTATTCTCTGTTATTATGGGCTGTGTAGCGAATTATCTAAACGAGGACGTACCTATGACCAAAAACACTAGAGAAATTAAGTTGTGCAACATTGGAACACGTATTTTTTAAAGGTTCTTTTGGGGGGTTTCCGTAAATGGTAGCGACACAAACAACTAAGGATTCTTCGTCTAGAATGCAGCTATCTACGAGATATGAGACAAGAGGGACATAAAGTGTGATTTCGGATTTCCGTTTGACAAAACTGGGGATCGTTTTTAGGCAAACCTTGCAGATGCCAACTGTAATGTCCATCTTTTCAGTTCACCTGTCAGTATGTTCTACTGGCAGTATATCGGTGTTTTGTCCTTTGTAGGATCTTGCTTGCATTTCATGAGTCCTTATTTACGAGATAATCCCTTATCGCTTTATCTTTTCCTCCTAGGATTTGAGTGAATTATTGGATTTTAAAAATACTGCCCAGTCAGTGATCGAGCAAGTGAACGATAAGACGAATATCATTGACCGTTCAGTGGAAATTTTTGAGAAACTTTCAGTATCACGTTGTTTTACGACCGTAAGTTTTATTAAATATCT